CATTAAATTCCAGTGAAATATATTTATGTTTGTGGTTGTAATGTGACAAAATATGGAAAAGTTCAAGGGGTATGAATACTTTTGCAAACCACTGTATCAATACAGTATCGGGAAATGAAATATCACGATATTTCAGTGTATCGATATTTTCTTACACCCCTACAATCGATACTTTTCTCTTCTGCTACAAAAATAAAAGCTGCACCGAAGCATCAGGTCAGAGGCAGGTTCAGACATAAACACTGAACTGAAGAAACATGTCAGATAATTATTTATCCAACTCTGACTGCACAACAATGGAAATGTTTTTTGAACCCAAAGATTCAGACATTTTGAATGTTATTTAATTGCAAGACTTTACAAAGTATTTTAAAAAAATCTGTTTTGTCTCGGAAATATTTTTTTATGTTTTATTTTGTTACTTTTAATAAGGGCAGTATTTTAAACAGGCAATATCAATGTTTTAAACATTGTTCAGATACTTTTTTGTTGTGGATTTTCTGTCACGGAGGTTTTGGCACTATATGTTTCCCATGCCTAAAGAGCTCCTTTTGAACTGAACTGAAGTGAATAGTCAGGGGCCCGAGGCTCGAGTTATATTCTCAGCTGTGTGGGGCTCTCTGAAATAACTAACGTCAGAGTGGTGATAAACAAATAAAAGCTTTGTGGGTGTGTTTCTGGGAGAGAAGCCTCGCTGCTTCATTAGGTTGCTCGGGTTCAATTCTTTCTCACAAACAGCACTGATAAACAGCAGCTTTATTTTGTCACTGATGGGCACATGACAAACATTGTTAATGCTTCACAGCTGCAAGCATCTTATGTATATGCAACTAAATGTGTGTGCATGTTTTTTTCCCTTTGGCATGTATGACTAGCAAAGTGGTTGTTTTTGAGTGAAAGGTGAAAGGCATCTTGTTTCTGTCACAACCCCCACACATGTATGAGCCAGGCTCTCACGGGCCCCTACATAACATGATCTCAGATTGGGGCCAGTGGAGTAGATTATGTTTGGAAAACAGGGGGGGATGGGCTGAGACCATTGTGTCAAACCTAAAGAAAACTACGCTCGGTAAGTTCAAGGCCAAAAGAGGCGGCTCTGAACTCTCTAACCCCACATCCTGCATAGATATGTTCCTTACTTTTACTGGGCTTTACTTTTAGATGACTCCAAAATACTTTGAGGTGTCCCAACATCAGAACACACAGCTGATATATATTCCAAAGCATAGTTGGTTTCATGTGGCCCCAATCATCAGTCCTCCACCACCATGCTTGACTGTTAATATCAGAAGTTTGTGCTGCTATAGTTATGGTTTGCTTGATTTATTTGTTTTTTAAATGTGCTTTGTGCATTAAGGGTAAAAATCTCGACTTTGGTTTCATCTGTTAGAATAAAAGCATTGCTCCAGACGTCTAAAGGCGCACTCAGATGGAACTTTAGGTTGTGCTGCTGTGTTCTTTTGACAGAAGAGGTGTTTTCCTTTCAAACAAGCCATATTCGTTCAGTCTTTTACCAGTTGTCCTGTCATGAATTTGACCTTCAGATTATTTCGGATGCCTCTGCTTTTAAAGAGCCCATGTAGTGATATCATCAAGACTATTTATTCTGCCATTTATAAAGCATTAATATACATGGTTGTGTAAATGTTATTCTCATGAAAGACCAAGTTCCTGGCTGTCCATGCTGGAGACCCCATTTCAACTTCGTTAGTTGGATGTCACAAAATATAAAAAAGTAGATCATTGCACCACAGTAGTGATCAAGTTTTAAAGTTTTGTGAGTTACTGGTCCACTCTGCCTCACACCAAACCTCCAGGAGTAGCTCTTATTCTAAACTTGTTTAGCTTTCAAAGCAGATCACCAGAACCGTGCCCTTCAGCATGGATTCAGTCAGGGACATTTGAAGGCAACTTAAGTCGGCAGCCAAACTCAGACTGGCATCACACAGATTCCAGCAATGCTTTGACCCATATCAAAAATCACAAGGACCTTTCAGAAACACCCCAGGAGCCCAACAGACAGGAAACTAAGACATAACAGAAACCTTGTCGCACAGTACGTTTTAGTTCATGATAAAGTTTATGTCATCTTCAGGACCCTGGCAGAGCCAATACGTGGACCTCACTACTAAGACACTTAGTCGACTCTAGCATACCAGCTCGAACTCTTCTCTTCTAATTGCTATTAATTATTTGAACCTTCATTCTGAGTCATTTCTTTTTAGAAAACTTTGGAATAGTAGATTTGATTTGACCCACTAACAGTTTAAACAGCCACATACAGTGGGGTGCGAAAGTTTGGGCAGCCTTGTTAATTTTCCTGATTTACCTTTATAAATCATTGATTGTTTGGATAAAAAAATATCAGTTAAATATATCTTATAGGGGACAAACACAGTGATATTTGAGAAGTAAAATGAACTTGATATGATTTACAGAAAGTGTGCAATAATTGGTTAAACAAAATTAGGCAGGTGCATAAATTTGGGTACAAAAAAATAAAAAAAACCTTAACTCAATACTTAGTAAATCCTCCGTTTACAGAAAAAAAACATTCTCTACACGCTTCCTACAGCTTCTAATGAGAGTCTGGATTGTGGCTGAAGGTATTTTAGACCATTCTTCTTTACAAAACATCTCTAGTTCATTCAGGTTTGATGGTTTCAAACCACAGACAGCTCTCTTTAAGTGACACCACAGATTTTCATTAATGATCGAGGGACTGAGATGGCCATTCCAGAATGTTGTACTTGTTCTTCTGCCTTAGTAGATTTTGAGCAGTGTTTAGGGTCGTTGTCTTGTTGGAAGATGCAGCCCCGGCTTCAGCAGCTTCAGCTTTGTCACTGATTCCTGGACATTGGTCTCCAGAATCTGCTGATATTAATTGGAATCCATGAGTCCCTCAACTTTAACAACATTCCCAGTCCCTGTACTGGCCACACATCCCCACAGAATGATGGAACCAGCCCCACATTTCACTGTAGGTAGCAGATGTTTTTCTTGGAGAGCTGTGTTCTTTTTCCTCCATGCATAACGACCCTTGTTCTGCCCAAATAACTCTATATTAGTTCCATCAGTCCACAGCACTTTATTCCAAAATGAAGCTGGCTTGTCCAAATGTGCTTTAGCATACCTCAAGCAGCTCTGTTTGTGATGTGGGTGGAGACAAGGCTTCCTCTGCATCACTCTCCCATACAGCATCTCCTTGTGTAAAGTGTGCTGAATAGTTGAACGATGCACAGTGACTCCATCAGTAGCAAGATGATGTTGTAGGTCTTTGGTGCTGGTCTGTGGGTTGACTGACTGTTCTCAACATCCTTCTCTTCTGTTTATTGGAGATTTTTCTTGGTCTACCACTTCGATCCTTGACTTGAACTGTGCCTGTGGTCCTCCATTTTCTCACAATGTTTCTCACAGTGGAGACTGAAAGCTGAAATCTCTGAGATAGCTTTCTGTATCCTTCCCCTAAACCAGGACGGTGAACAATCTTTGTTTTCAGCTCATTTGAAAGTTGTTTTCAGACTCCCATGCTGCGACTCTTCAGAGAAGATGCAAAGAGGAGAAAAACTTACAATTGCCCCCGCTTAAATACCCTTTCTTGTAATTGGAGTCACCTGTGTATGGAGGTCAAGGGTCACTGAACTTACCAAACCAAATTTGAGTTCCAATAATTGGTTCTAAAGGTTTTGAAATCAATAAAATGACAACAGTGCCCAAATTTATGCACCTGCCTAATTTTGTTTAAACAATTATTGCACACTTTCTGTAAATCACAAAAACTTCATTTCACTTCTCAAATATCACTGTGTTTGTCCCCTATATGATATACAGTATCTAACATCAATGATTTATAAAGATAAATCAGGAAAATTAACAAGGCTGCCCAAACTTTTGCACCCCACTGTACCTACCCAGCTAGTTCACAATATATGTCAAATTCTGAATAATTTACATGTAACATGTGTGAACTTATGCATAACTTACCATTGACTTATCATCACTGAGGTCCTCCATCCACATGACAGAGAGGGGAACGCAAAAATGACTCAGTCTGCAACTGAAAATATGGATGGAGGACCTCAGTTTAGCTTGTTTGTCGCGCTAGCATCGAGCTAATACATATAAGGCAATATAGCATGAGGGGTAGCGCAAAGGCTAACAGGCTAAGCTGAGGTTCTTCTTCCATGAAGCAGCTCTGTTGTCCTCCATCCATATTTTCAGTTACAGGCTGAGTCATTTCTACCTTCTCCTCTCTGTCAACGCTCTCTGGTTTCATTTAAAAGAGTCGATCATCAGATATTGTCCAAGATCAACCTTCAGGGTGGATATAGCTCGCTAGCAGCCTCGCACCGATGACCTAGTTGATGTCATCATTTACCCAGAATGCTTTGTGTGTAAATAAAATGGCTCCGTCCGTGTTAAAATATATTTTAAAAAATTTACAATTTTTACAGTCTTTATTTTACAGTTAAAATATATGTACAACTAATTGTGGATCCCTTTAAAGAAAATAGTACAGTACATGTTTTTATGCTTTTCAAAAAGAAGAGATAAATGAAAAATGGAATGTGAGCAGAAGATTTTGTAAAAAAAAAAATGCATGGACGTCCCTGTAAAAGATGATTTGACTGTGTCCTGATGTTTTTATGATGCAAAAATGTTTCACTTTGATTTATTTGCCTTTTTTTCTCTCTCTCTCTCTCCAGGCTGCCAATCTCTCACACCTGCTTTAATCAGATCTGTTTGCCTCCGTATCGAACCCGAAAGGAGCTCAAACACAAACTCACCATTGCCATCTCCAACTCTGAAGGTTTCGGTCTGGAGTGACCGATCAGCACACACAGAAACAGACTGTTCACAAAAACCACAACACACACCACATTGGATCCATGTGGCTCAGACTGCAGAGGAAATGAGCTGCTTAGTAAATGACTCCCATCATCTGTCATCAGTTGTAATTTTTTCTCTAAATCTGCAGCGCATACGGCGGGAGCTCAGATCAACTCTGTCAACTCCTCTGTCTGCACAAGGACTGCTCTGATTCTGCTGGTAAACAACTCTGATAGAGGGAAAATAAAACAAGACATTTTGTTTCGGAAATACAACACTGTGCAAAAGTTTCAAGTAGTTTTATGTTTTTAGCGATCATTTTAGTCCAGTCAAGGATAGTTTTATATGAGACCAAAAAGCCAACTAGAAAACATTTCATCTGCAAAGTGCTTTTAAAGTCAGTAAAGAATGTAGTGTTTAATAAAAAAAAAGAGAACAAGTCACACTGGCTTGTATTTTGCCACATACTGTATATTGGCTCATTTCAGAATCTTTCTACACAAGTCAAAACATGAAAAACCGAAGCTCAATGTGATGAAAACTTCGATGATACAACACTGACGATGCATTCCCGTTACAGTTTAGCATTGCTGGAGATTACACAACACATGCTGGATTATCAGGTACATAGGAGGTAATGTGATATTTTGTTTTACAGCCATCTCAGCATACAGTAAAGCAGATACGTAAAAGTGAATTATAATTATTTTTAGCTTACTAAAAGCCGTGTCACACTAGACTACTTATGCCAATTTGTAAACATTTTAAAGACGAAATGAAAATGAATATGAAAAAAATCAACAAGAAGCTTCTTTTCGGCGTGGACATAACGTAATTCAAACTGATCAAATATATAACTAGTAATATAATTTAGACAATTAGCAATTTAGACATAAAAATGTTTCACAAGTTGTCCAGTGTGACAGGGCCTTAAGAAAAAATATTCCACAATATTTTTTAATCGTTCTCTTTTTATTTTTAGTTCTTATATCTTTTGCACAGTGTTGTAGATTTAACCTTGAAGAGTCTTTCAGAATCCTCCTCAGATCAAACTAATCTCAAATGTACCTTTTTTTTAGTATCAGACTTATAGGTCTTAAAAGGTTTTAATTATCTTTTCAAAATATTAAATGTTATTTTCTTTCTCAGGAAATTGTTACAATAAATTTAACTATTAAAAATAAATATCAGGTTTAAACTGAACATTTGCCCCAAACAAACCGTCAGACTTCAGTTAAACAGTGTTGGTAAGTTAGCTTGTTTAGGATTTTTAGTCACTTTCTTAAAACACTATTTTATGAGACTTTATTTGTCTCAGTTTGCTTTGTTTGCTGCACACAGCTGCGTTCTAACATTTCACTTGGAGAGGATTTTTTTTTTTTACATTATGAGATATACATTCTCAGATTTACTTTGACATTGCCGCCTGTTTTCATGAACAAAGGCTGCAGCAAAAACAGTCTAGAAGCAGAGCTTTTAATGTAGTCTACTGTTGAATTTGTTGTGTTGAAGGATGATCAGCAGCTCGCACACTGTTGCTGGGAGGCCCAATATGACAAAAGAAACTATCTTCTTAGACATGCTTTGACATTTGTGTGTTAAGTGCTTTTAAATTATTGCACCCTGTTGACATTTTCTCACACTGCTGTTTAGTCAGACACACCAGAGAAAAGCAAACACCCAGAATCACAAAAACACAAAAACTGAGGATGTTTAGACTCAAAGTTTTGCACATGTACATCACAAGTTCTTCATAAAGGGAGACATGAGCTTCAAACTGAGCTGCAAACTAAATAGTGTTTTTCTGTACTGGTGATGTTTCGCCACATTTAAAGTTAATGCAGCTTAAAAGAAAAAAAAAACTTCCACATTTATGTGCAAAAAGCATAAAGGACTGTGCAGTTTGTAGTTATTGTGAAATATTCACCTTCTTTGTGAAAACAAGTGGTGATTGATCAGGAAATGAAGAAAGAGGAGCAACATGTGCTGCATTCGCAAATGGAGGACATTACGTCAAGAAAAGATCGGCTTTAACTATTATTTAAGGGAAGAATGGTTGCCATGTAAATAAATTGCACATTTTTAGTAAATCCAGGCAAGAAAGTAAACTTAACTTGACTTTAAGATGCTTTTTCAAATGAAAATAGCACTCGTATGACTTGCCATCATGTACGCCAGAGTTTTAAAACTCGAGTGCAATCTGTTGTTTGTCCGTCTGTGTTGGGGGATGACCTTTAGCTACTACCACAGCAAATCTTAGCTCATTGTCTATAAAATATGGCTCATAGTCTTTTTTTTTTTTTTTTGGTCGTTGTGGTTGAGTAACTTGAATTGTGTTGACTCCCAAAGTTAATTGGTTGTAGATGTATATCCAATTATCACTTTTTTATTGCTTTACATATCTTTTTTTACATATTTTCCTTGAGAAAAGTCTTAAAAACACTGTTTTAATGTTGCACACTAGATTTTTCATTCAGCTCAATAGTTTCCCCATCAGACAGCCTTATCAGCAGCAGTTTGATCTGCACTTTCCTTGTCTTCCATCTCAACCCAGTCTCACAGAAGTCAAATGTGTGGAGACAAATTCAAGTAACTAAGCAACGCTCGAGCTATTCCTTTGACTGTATCGTCCAAATTTACATCAGTCTAATCTGGGCCGCTCAGTCACTCACTGAGGGTCTGAGGTCTGAAAACACTCCAGAAACAATGAACCCTTTCACTCATTTTTACGACGAGTCCAGAGTAGCAGCAGAAACCAGACGCAGACTAACGTCAGAGGAAAGAGGAGTCACTGCAGTTTGAAAGTAAAGTTGTTTTCCTTCACTGCATCAGAACAGTTGTTGTTCAGCTCATTTATCTGCTATAGAAGCTTAACTGCCTGATTTTTAACCCCTGTTGCAGCTTTTTCTTATTTTTTTTCAAGGGATCCATGATTAGTTGTAACATTAGACTTTATTTGATAAACATATATTTTAACTGTAAAATAAAGACTGTAAAAATACTGTAGGCTGTTTAGTTTTCATAATTTTTAAACTAAAAGTTTAAAAATATATTACACGGATGGGGCCATTTTATTTACACGCAAAGCATTCTGGGTAAATGATGACGTGGGTAGGTCATCGGTGCGAGGCTGCTAGCGAGCTATATCCACCCTGAAGGTTAATCTTGGACAATATCTGATGATCGACTCTTTTAAATGAAACCAGAGAGCGTTGACAGAGAGGAGAAGGTAGAAATGACTCAGCCTGGAACTGAAAATATGGATGGAGGACAACAGAGCTGCTTCATGGAAGAAGAACCCACAATATACCCAGAATGCTTTGTGTGTAAATAAAATGGCTCCGTCCGTGTTAAAATATAGTTTTAAAAATTTACAAAACCAAACAGCCTACAGTATTTTTACTGTCTTTATTTTACAGTTAAAATAAATGTTTATCAAATAAAATCTAATTTTACAACTAATAGGGGAGCCCTTTAAAGTGTGGGTTTTGAAGCAACATCCCTGTTGTGACTAAAGTCCTGCAAAGCAAATAAGAGTTACCCAGCAACAGTCGAGCAGCTTCTCCAGCAGCGCTGTCTAAATTTACATCAGTTTAATCTGGGTCGCTCATTCACTCAGCCCTCTCTGGGTATCTGTATGGAAGGGAAAAAAATAAAGAAAAGAAAAAAATCACCCTGCTATAAATCCTTTATATTACATAATGACTGCCTCAGAGGAACCACAAGCTGCTCTTCTACTTCAGCACAACCTTCATGCCACATTCATAATCTGTTGGATTTGGCCAGATAACATGAGCTGCTGGTTTGATTTAAAAAAGAAACAGACACATTTTAGATGTTAGGGCACACATGGACCAAATTGTTTCTTAAAACCCAAAAGAGTTTATCGTAATCTGGCCTATGAAAAAAAAGGTTTAATCTAGAACGCCTTGAAGGAATTACATTTATAACCCAACATGGGATATTTTTCCAACCGACAGGCAGAAACAAACACACATATAGATAATTATGTTTGATTTCATGGTGGTGAGCAATGATGAATGAAGACTAGCATTTTAGTAATGACTAATGAATAACAGATTCACAATGCCCTTTCTATTTTCTTCTTTTATTATTTTTTTTTACAGTTTTACAACAGAGAGCACCTTTTCACTAAAATAGGCCAAATTTTTTTTCTGCCAAGTCTCAAAAGTCAAAGTCAGCCTGAAAATATTAGCTAAATGATGTGTCAAAAATTGCACAAATGTTTTTATTAATTCAATAATTGATAATTAAAATAACTGTTTTTTATGCTCAGAGAGTTTTGCTGTATTTTAACCAAGCATGGCAACTAAAAAGCACTAAAAGGGAGTTTTAGCAGATGTGCCTAATATAATATTCACATAAAGCATTTCACAATCTACAAAAATATTAGTTTCATGATGTCGTGATTTTTTTTTTTTTTTTTTTTTTTTACAGAGGATGTGATGTATATGAAGGCTGCAGGTAGTTCACGGTGCTAGTTTCTATATAGTTTGAAACTTTTCTGTCCCAATAACGAAATAATAATGACCCTTATTTGCTTATTTGTGTTCACTTTGTGTGTGTGTGTGTGTGTGTGTGTGTGTGTGTGTGTGTGTGTGTG